CGAGGCTGGGAGAGCGCGCCGCTGCAGGTGGGGCCACGTGGGCGGGTCCTCCATGGACTGGAGGGGCGGCTTGTCGGCCTGGGCGGGGCGGGGGGCAGCCCTCTGAGCACCCTGGAGCCCCGCCCCCGAGCCAGGGGGCAGCCACGCGACCGCTCCGGCGCTCGGCGCCAGGAGCCCGCGGCTACGGGAAGCAAACGGTGAGGACTGTCGGGCGGGGTCCCTGAGCTGGGTCCCCAGGTGGCCGGGGACGCGCATTCCCCTGGACTGGGCACTCCTCACAGTCTGCACAGCCACTGACCCAGATGGCCAGAGAGGCGCATTCCCCTGGACTGGGTCCCCAGGTGGCCAGGGGCGTGCACTCCCCTGGACTGGGTGCGCGACCTACGCGTGGAGGTGATGGGCTGCGTCCTGGCGTGGATGGGCCTAGTGATGATACTGATGAGGGCGCGGAGCTCCAGGAGGCTGCTCCGCCCAGGCAGTCGCACGATGAGATGATCGGGGTGTCCTCGCAGCAAGTTCTCGTCGAGCTCCTTCAACTGACTAGCGACAACCGACGACGCCCTTGGGAGGAGGCGCGCGAGTGCCCGATTGATGAGCGCTGGTCACAGCCCCCCGACTACATCCGTGAGTCCATGGCTTTCGTCACGGGAGCGGGCGAAGCGATCGAGCTGGGCAACGCTTAAGGCCACTGGGCCAAGCTGGAGCGCTACTTGGTGAGCACAATGGGCCTCGAGAAGGAGGTGCAGAAGAACTGTCTGGGGCGCGCCCTCCCAAGGACCCCCCAGGCCAAACCCTTGAGAGCGCCCAAAGGAGGAACGAACGGCACCAACCGCTCGGCAGCTTGGTGGAGCACCATGGCGGCATGCGCGGGCACGCCTGCCAAGACCCTTGCCAAGCCGACGTTGTCGGAGGCAGGCAAAGACGCCCTGCGCACCTTGCTGGACACTGGCCACAGCATGCCTGCCGACTCCCTCCTGGTGGTGGGCGCGCAGGCACAGGTCAAGTGGATGGGCGCTAGTCGACGGGCGCGGGCGTGGACGGAGCGACAGGCCAGTGCCATGGCAGCTGCTTTAGCCGAGGTGGCTGGCAAGGCCCACCGTGCAGAGGTCAGACAGAACGTGGTGGCCTTCCATGACTGGGTGATGAGGCGTGTAGCCAAGCAGCCTGGCAAAATGGTGAACTGGACCAAGGACAAGGCTGCCCCCGCCATGGAAGTGGGGCTCGCGGATGCCCCACCCGAGGCGGGCCAGCTGAACCGTACTGCCAGCTGCGACATCAACACCATGATGGAGATCAAGCGGGAGCAGTGGGCAGACCGCTGGGCTGGCCGAGTCACGGCAGACAGAGTGCGACGCCTTCGGGAGCGACGCAGGAGGCTGAGGAACGAGCAGGACGAGTACGCACCAGTCGACCCGTCTGCCATTGCTACTTTGGTAGGAGGCATTCGACAGGCGACGAGGCGGGGGAGTGATACTCTTGGTCCTGCTGACCTTCGTGCTGCACCTCATGAGTCGCTTGAGGAGCTGGCCCGCCTTTTCCTGAGCTGTGAACAGCTGCAGGCATGGCCCTGGCAGCTGCTGCTTGTCCTGGAGGCGATGATACCCAAGCCAGCGTCGACGGGAGAGAGAGAGAGAGAGAGCGATTGCTCTCTCGCCCTCTCCCCTCCGTGTCTGGAGCCATCTTCCGAAGTCGGTCGGGGCCCTGTGGTGTGAGAAGAAGGCTGGCTTCTGGGATCAGGCTGTCGAGAACGGTGCTGCACGATGCGCTTGAGAGCGCGCGTGCAAGATTTCCTCCTAGAGGCGTTGCCTCAGCGCAGTGGGTTGATGACATCAACCAGAGGGCCGAGGGCCCAGCGCATGTCGTGACGGAGGCTCTTGCGGGTGCCGCTCTGGATGTTTGCAAAGGTGCCGAGTCCCTGGGACTGAACATCATGGGGAAGTCGGCGGCGGTTGCCAGCTCCTTGGGTCTCGCGAGGGATATCTCCCAAGCGGTTGTAAAGCAGTCCCAGGGTAGCTGTGTGACCAAGCCCTCTCAAGCACGGTGGCCGACCCAGGCCCGGATCGGGGCTCGGGTCGCAAGCAGCGTCGCAAGCACGGAGATCGCGTGGCCACGGGTCTGAAGCAGCTGCACAAGATCAAGCGCGTTTCCAAGGTAGGCCGCCTGCGTAGAGCTCGGAGAAAGATTGGCATGATGTCTCCTGTTCCTCGTTGCCAGTACGGTGCTTTGGTGCATGGGATGGCCCCCATCCATGGCCTCGAGGACCCAGGCTTCCACGGGTGCGGCCCTCGGGGGACCCAAGAGAGGCAGATGCCTCACCACGTTCTTGGCTCTGGAGTTGGGTCCTCGGATGCCCGCCGTCGAGCTGGTCCTTCGACAGTTCACGAGCTTGTTCGAGCTCCCCGCCGACCCCTCCCTGGCGCGACAGATCCGAGCGAGACTGCATCGGAGCTGGCCCAAGGTGGCTGGGAGTTTCCTTGGGGCCAAGGAGAACCGCCGATGGGCTCGGGTCTCTGGGCCCATCTCTGGGGTCTTGGCGGTGCTGTTGGACCACGGGTGGCCTCCGCCGGATCCCCAGAGCCTCGAGTGGTTGGCCCCTCTGGTAGCCTTTGGAGGTCAGGGCCCCCTTCCCATGGTTTTATCGACTTCGAGCCGCTTGTTCAGGAGGTCCTCGCGTCGGTCTGGGCCAAGTTGTGGCGTCGAGTGGCTAAGTTTTACCAAGGGGTTGGGGCTCAAGGGGGCCTCGACCTCTATTCGTTCCGCCAGTGGCTCTTTGCGCTGGACAAGAAAGGCTCCCAGCAGGCCCTTCGTTTCAGGGGCTCTCTCATGGCGGTGGCCACGGCTGCGACTTGGTCCAGGGGCTGGCTGCTCGAGGAAGGCAGGATTGAGGAGTGCAATGCGATCTGTCAGCGTTGCTCTGCTGGTGTTGTCGAGACGGATGTCCATCGTCACTGGAAGTGTGCTGCCAGTTGTCACTTGCAGGCCTGTGCAGACACGAAGGATGTGGAGGAGAGAGCCCTGGAGGAAGCCTCGTCCTTTCCCGTCTTCTGGCTGAGAGGCCTCCTGCCATCTAGCTGGACAGAGGTCAACCCGCCAGGTGATGACCCCATCAAGCCGAGCTGGTCCTACGCTGCAGGCGGCAGCGGCACGGACCCTTGGACGGAGTCATGGGGGCGGGGGACGGGCCGGGTGGAGTGAACACTCGAGATCCTAGGCTCAGACGCTGTGCCTGGAGATGTTGTACCATAGCGGTTGCGTGTAAAAGCCCAGCCTGGACCCAGGTCTCCGACGTCCAGGGGCTCTCGGGAGGGGTCCCAGGACCAATACAGACCTTCAGTCGTGCAGACCCTTGGGCTTTAGTTCGGTGGGTGGAGGTCTGCGCGGGTCCTGGGCGTGACCTTCATTTCATCACCGACACGAGCTACGTAGCTCGAGGGGTGTCGGCTCGCAGCCAGAGGCGGCGCACCAATCGGGACCTCTGGCGGCGCCTCTGGGAAGCTCTAGGCGAGGTGCAGCTAAAGACCCACAAGGTGGAGTCTCATGCCAGCAATTCCAGGGCCGAGTTTTGAGGTCCAGCTTTCGGGGGCCGAGGTCGATCGAGTCCAGGAGGCTGAGAAGCTTGCCAGCAGGATCAGGAAGCGCTTGGTGGCCGTGATGGAGGAGTGCGCGCGTGTGGATCCTCGGGCGGGTACGTCTCGGATTGGGCACGCTCCACCACGGCCCAAGCACCCCAGAGGTAAGCCGCCCGATCGTGCCCTGTCTGCCACATCTCATGATATCGTGCGGCCGGAGGAGGAGGAGGAGGAGGAGGAGGGGGAGGAGGAGGAGGAGGAGGAGGAGGAGTTGGAGGAGGAGGAGGAGGAGGAGGAAGAGGAGGAGGAAGAGGCCAAAAAGGCAGGGCGGGCTCCCGCTTCTCGTGTCGTCGCTGCCTGGAGAGAGCCGGGGGGGCCCTGAGCAGGATATATCATCGAGTGGCTGGCGAGCCCCTGCCGGGCGGTGGAGCCGTCTGTTGCGGGCAACTCGTTCCCCGTGCCTCCAGGGACCGGGGTTGCTGACAGAGTCATTCACCCTAACCGAATACATTCGACAAGTTCGGCCTCCGCGCCCCCGCGCCCCCGACCAAACTCTTATTGGTCGACGATAAAAAACTCTAACGACTTAAGGGGGGGGTACTTTATTCTCATCGGCATGCGGTTAGTCACACGGCTAGAGCCCACTCCCAGGTTCCAGTGCGTTTCTGTTCCACTTGTGGGCTGTGCTCGGCGAGGGAGAGCGGAGTCTTGAGAGGCCCTGCGGTGCTTTGTGGCCCTCCAACCAAGACGGGGTTGGGAAACCTTAAGCTGCTCGAGCGAGGGGTCTGGCCAGGACACTCCCAGGCGGCCAAGGCCTTTAATCGGATGCAGCTGGCGTAATGGTTGTCCCTGAACACTGTTCTTGAGCAGGCAAAAAAATCCTCCCCTTCACCTCCTCCTCCTCCTCCTCCTCTTCCTTCTCCTCCGCCCACTTCTCTTCCTCCTCCTCCTCCGCATCCTCATTGCCACCCTTTGCTTTCTCCTCCTCCTCCTCATCCCCTCCCCCCTCCCCCCCTCCCCTCTCGCCTCCTCCTGCTCCTCGCCCCGTCCCCATCCTCCCCTCATCCCCTCGCCCTCCTCCGCCGACTCGCATCCACGCGACGGGTCCGAGTTGCCGCACCACCGAGGTGGACGAGACGAACAGGGACTTGCAGAAGGCCCGCACGTGGGCGGGCTGCAGCCGGTAGTCCACCTGGGGCCCAAAAGCTCTCCGACGCTCTGTCTCGGCTTGGTCCCCCAGCGCACGCCGCCGCGGCCTCGGCCCTCCGGGAACCGGGGCCCCGGGGCCCTCAAAACGGCTCTGGGACGGGGAGTACACCTGGCGAAATGCTGAAGAAATCATGGGTTAAGACATTCATAGTCTCAGAACTTGAATAAAAACCTACATTTTCTATTAAATCTTAGGATTTACGTTGAAACATTAAGAATAATCGAGACTCTGGCCGAAAACTTGAGTTTTCTTAAGCATCGCCTAAGGTGTACGCGCGCGGGAGCGGGCTCAGGGTCTCTCGGGCCGTGCACTGTGCAAAACACAGCGTCGGCTGCCTGGGACTGCGGAGCACATAAAACACAGGAAGTCAGCAGACACACAGAAGTCAAGCTGGGGTGGCGACGCGAGGAGGGTGTACATTGACAACCCACAGGAGGGTGCATCACCCCAACCACGAGCGTACCCCACCCATCCGTACCGAAAAATCATCGTGGCGAATGGGGGTGGGGGGTCATGTTTCGAATCATGTTCACATCCAGAAAAAAAATAACAAAAACTGAACAGGCATAAACCTTCCGCGCTCCGCGCGGATTCCTGGGTCGGCGCTGACACCCCCGGGCCGGGCCTCTGGCGCCGACGCCGTCGCCGTCGCTGTCGCCGTCGCCGTCGCCGTCGCCGTCGTCGTCGTCGTCTTCGTCGTGGTTCGTCCTCGTTCGTCGTCATTCGTCGTCGTCGTCGTCGTCGTCGTTGTCGTCGTCGTTGTCGTCGTCGTCGTCCTCGTCGTCGTCGTCGTCGTCGCCCTAGCCGCCGCCGCCACCGCCACCGTCGTCGTCGTCGTCGTCGCCTTCGTCGTCGCCATCGTCGTCGTTCGTCGTCGTCGTCGTTGCCGTCACCGTCGCCGTCGCCGTTGCCGTCGCCGTCGCCGTCGCCGTCGCCGTCGCCGTCGTACTCGTCGTAATCGTCGTCGTCGTGATTCGTCGTCGTTCGTCGTAGTTCGTCGTCGTCGTCAACAGTCGTGAGTCGTCGTCGTCCACGTCGTCGTCGTCATCGTGGTCGGTCGTCGTCGTGGTCGTCGTTCGTCGTCGTCCTCGTCCGTCGTCGTCGTCCGTCGTCGTCGTCGTTCGTCGTCGTCGTCGTCGTCGCCGTCGCCGTGGCCGTCGCCGTCGTCGTCGTCGTCGCCGTCGTCGTCGTCGCCGCCGTCGTCGTCCCCGTCGCCGTCGCCGTTCGTCGCCGATCGTCGTCGCTCGTCGTCGTCGTCGGTCCGTCGGTCGGTCGGTCGGTCGGTCGTCGTCGTCGTCGTCATCGTCGTCCTCGTCGTCCTCGTCGTCGTCGAAGTCGCCATCGTCGTCGTCGTCGTCGCCGTCGTCGTCGTCGTCGTTCGTCGTCGTCGTCGTTCGTCGTCGTCGTTCGTCGTCGTCGTCGCCGTCGTCGTCGCCGTGGCCGTCGCCGTCGCCGTGGCCGTCGCCGTCGCCGACGCCGACGCCGTCGCCGTCGTCGCCAGCGCCGTCGTCGTCGCCGTCGTCGTCGAATCATCGTCGTCGTCGTCGTCCGTCGTCGTCGTCGTCGTCGTCGTCGTTCGTCGTCGTCGGCGTCAGTCGTCGTCGTCGTCGTCGTCGTCGTCGTCGTCGTCGTCGTCGCCGTCGTCGTCGTCCGTCGTCCGTCGTGGGTCGTCGTCGTCGTCGTCGTCAACATCATCGTCGTCGTCGTCGCCGTCGTCGTGGTCGTCGTCGTGGTCGTCGTCGTCGTTCGTGGTCGTTCATCGTCATCGTCATCGTCGTCGTTGTTCGTCGTCGTTCGCCGCCGCAGCGGGAGTCGTCGTCGTCGGCGCCGTCGTAGTCGTCGTCGTCGCCGCAGCCGCCGCCGTCGTCGTCGTCGTCGTCGTCGCCGCCGCGGCCGCCGCCGCCGCCGCCGTCGTCGCCGCCGCCACCGCCGTCGTCGTCGTCGTCGTCGTCGTCGGCGTCGTCGTCGTTCGTCGTCGTTGTCGTCATCGTCATCATCGTCGTCGTCGTCCGTCGTCGTCGTCGTTGTCCGTCGTCGTCGTCGTCGCCGCCGCCGTCGCCGTCGCCGTGGCCGTCGCCGTCGCCGCCGCCGTCGCCGTCGCCGTCGCCGTCGCCGTCGCCGGTCGTCGTCGTCGTCGTCGTTGTTCGTCGTCGTTCGTCGTCGTCGTCGTCGTTCGTCGTCGTGGCCGTCGCCGTCGCCGTCGCCGACGCCGCCGCCGTCGTCGTCGCAGCCGCCGCCGCCGTCGTCGTCGTCGTCATCGTAGTCGTCGTCGTCGTTGTCGTCGTCGTCGTTCGTCGTCGTTGTCATCGTCGTCGTCGTCGTCGTCGTCCGTCGTCCGTTGTCGTCGTCGTCGTCGTTCGTCGTCGCCGTCGTCGTTCGTCGTCGTTCGTCGTCGTCGTCGCCGTCTCCGTCGCCGTCGCCGTCGCCGTCGCCGCCGCCGTCGCCGTCGCCGTCGTCCTCGTCGGTCGTCGTCGTCGTCGTCGTTGTTCGTTGTCGTTCGTCGTCGTCGTCGTCGTTCGCCGCCGTTCCTCGTCGTCGTCGTCGTTGTCCGTCGTCGCCGTCGTCGTCGTTGTTCGTCGTCTTTGTCGTCATCGTCATCGTCGACGTCGTCGTCCGTCGTCCGTCGTCGTCGTCGTCGTTCGTCGTCGTCGTCGTTCGTCGTCGTTCGTCGTCGTCGTCGTCGTCGTCGTCGTCGTTGTCGCCCGTCGTCGTCGTCGTCGTCGTCGCAGCCGCCGCCGCCGTCGTCGTCGTCGTCGTCGTAGTCGTCGTCGCCGTCGTCGTCGTCGCCGCCGCCGAAGCCGTCGTCGCCACCGCCGTCGTCGGTCGTCGTCGTCGTTGTCGTCGTCATCGTCGTTCGTCGTCGTTCGTCGTCGTCGTTCGTCATCGCGGTCCTCGTCGTCGTCGTCGGTCGTGGTCGTCGTGATCGTAGTCGTCGTCGGTCGTCGTCGTTTGTCGTCGTCGACGCTCGTCGTCGTTCGTCGTCGTCGTTCGTCGTCGTCGTCGTCATCGTCCGTCGTCGTCGTCATCGTCGTCGTCGTCCGTCGTCGTCGTCATCGTGGTCGTCGCCGCCGCCGCCGTCGTCGTCGTCGTTGTCGTCGTCGTCGTGGCCGCCGCCGCCGTCGTCGTCGTCGTCGTCATCGTCGTCGTCGTCCGTCGTCCGTCGTCAGGCGTCGTCGTCGTCGTGGGTCGTCGTCGTCGTGATCGTCGTCGTTCGTCGTCGTCGTCGTCGGTCGTTGTCGTCGTCGTCGTGCGTCGTCGTCATTCGTCGTCGTCGTCGGCGGCGTCGTGGGTCGTCGTTCGTCGTCGCCGTCGTCGTCGTCGCCACCGCCGCCGTCGTGTCGTCATCGTCGTCGTCTTCGCCGCCACCGCCGCCGCCGCCGCAGTCGTCGTCGACGTCTTCGTCGTCGTCGTCGGTCGTCGTCGCCGTCGTCGTGATCGTCGTCGTCGTTCGTCGTCGTTCGTCGTCGTCGTCGTTCGTCGCCCGTCGTCATCGTCGTCGTCGTCGTCGGTCGGTCGTCGTCATCGTCATCGTGATCGTCGTCGTTCGTTGACGTTCGTCGTCGTCGTTCGTCGTCGTTCGTCGTCATCGTCGTCGTCGTCCGTCGTCGTCGTCGACGTCGTCCGTCGTCGTCGTCGCCGACGTCGTCGTCGTCGCCGCCGCCGTCGTCGTCGTCGTCGTCGTCGCCGCCGCCGACGCCGCCGCCGTCGTCATGGTGGTCGTCGCCGTCGTCGTTGTCGTCGTCGTCATAGTCGTCGTCGTCGTCCGTCGTCCGTTTTCGTCGTCGTCGTCCGTCGTCGTCGTCGTCGTGATCGTCGTCGACGTCGTGATCGTCGTCTCCGACGTCGCCTCCGTCGTCGTCGTCGTCGACGCTCGTCGTCATCGTCGTCGTCGTCCGTCGCCCGTCATCGTCGTCGTCGTCCGTCATCGTCGTCGTCGTCGTCGGTCGTCGTCGTCGTCGTGACCGTCGTCGTCGTCGTCGTCGTCGGTCGTCGTCGTCGTCCTGATCGTCGTCATGCATCCTCGTCGTTCGTCGTCGTCGTTTGATTGATCCTCAAGCCTCGTACTTGCCGTCGGGTGCGCTCCAGCTGCACTCGTCGTCGTCGTCGTCGTCGCCACCGCCGCCATCGTCGCCGTCGTCGTTGCCGCCGCCGCCGCCCCCACCGCCGCCGTCGACGTCGTCGTCGTCGTCGCCGTCGTCGTCATCGTCGTCGTCGTCCGTCGTCCGTCGTCGTCGTCTTCGTCGTCCGTCGTCATCGTCTCCGTCGTCGTCGTCGTCGTCGTCGGACATCGTCGTCGTCGTGATCGTCGTCGTCGTCATCGCCGCCGTCGTCGTCGTCGTCGTCATCGTCGTCGTCGTCGGTCGTTGTCGTCGTCGTCCGTCGTCGTCGTCGTCGGTCGTCGTCGCCGTCGTCGTGATCGTCGTCGTCGTCGTCGGTCGTCGTCGTCGTCGTGATCGTCGTCCTGCGTCGTCGTCGATCGTCGTCGTCATCGTTTGATTGATCCTCGAGCCTCGTACATGCCGTCGGGAGCGCGCCAGCTGCACTCATGGTCGTCGTCATCTTCGCCGCCGCCGTCGTCGTCGTCGTTGTCGCCGCCGCCGCCGTCGTCGCCGACGTCGTCGTCGTCGTCGTGGTCGTCGTCGTCGGCCGTCGTCCGTCGTCCGTCGTCGTCGTCGTCGGTCGTCGTCGTCGTCGTCGTCGTCGGTCGTCGTCGTCGTCGTCGTGATCGTGGTCGTCGTCGTCGCCGCCGTCGTCGTCGCCGTCGTCGTCGTCGACATCGTCGTCGTCGTCGTCCGTCGTCCGTCGCCCGTCGTCGTCGTCCGTCGTCGTCGTCGTCGTCGGTCGTCGTCGTCGTCGTGTTCGTCGTCGTCGTCGTCGGTCGTCATCGTCGTGATCGTCGTCCTGCGTCGTCGTCGTTCGTCGTCGTCGTCGTTTGATTGATCCTCAAGCCTCCGTACTTGCCGTCGGGAGCGCGCCAGCTGCACTCGTCGTCGTCGTCGTCGTCGTCGCCACCGCCGTCGTCGTCGTCGTCGTCGTCGCCGCCGCCGAAGCCGTCGTCGTCGTCGTCGTCGTCGTCGTCGACCGGTCCTCCATCGTCGTCGTCGTCCGTGGTCGTCGTCTTCGGTCGTCGTCATCGTGATCGTCGTCGTCGTCGCGGACCCCGTCGTCGTCGACGCCGTCGTCGTCGTCATCGTCGTCGTCGTCCGTCGTCAGCCGTCGTCGTCGTCGTCGTCAGTCGTCGTCGTCGTCGTCGTCGTCGGTCGTCGTCGTCGTCGTTCGTCGTCGTCGTCAGTCGTCGTCGTCGTGATCGTCGTCCTGCGTCGTCGTCGTTTGTCGTTGTCGTCGTCATTTCATTGATCCTCGAGCCTCGTACTTGCCGTCGGGAGCGCGCCAGCTGCACTTGTTGTCATCGTCGTCGTGATCGTCGTTGTCGTCGTCCGGTCCGTCATCCGACGTCGTCGTCTTCGTCGTCCGTCGTCGTCGTCGTCGTCGTCGGTCGTCGTCGTCGTGATCGTCGTCGTCGTCGGTCGTCGTCGTCGTCGTGATCGTCGTCCTGCAGCGTCGTCGTTTGTCGTCGTCGTCATTTGATTGATCCTCGAGCCTCGTACTTGCAGTCGGGAGCGCGCCAGCTGCACTCGTCGTCGTCGTCGTCGTCGTCGCCGCCGCCGTCGTCGTCGTCGTCGTCGCCGCCGCCGCCGCCGCCGTCGTCGTCGTCGTCGTCGTCGTCGTCGGTCGTCGGTCGTCGTCATCGTGATCGTCGTCGTCGTCCGTCGTCCGTCGTCGTCGTCGTCGTCGTCGTCGTCTTCCGTTGTCGTCGTTCCTCGTCGTCGTCGTCGTCGTCGGCGGTCGTCGTCGTCGTCGTCGCCGTGATCGTCGTCGTCGTCGTTGTCGTCTTCGTCGGTCGTCGTCGTCGTCGTGACCGTCGTCGTCGTCGTCGTCGTTCGTGGTCGTCGTCGTCGTTTGATTGATCCTCGAGCCTCGTACTTGCCGTCGGGAGCGTGCCAGCTGCACTCGTCGTCGTCGTCGTCGTCTCCGCCGCCGCCGTCGTCGTCGTCGTCGTCGCCACCGCCGCCGCCGCCGCCACCGCCGTCGTCGTCGTCGTCGTCCGTCGTCGTCGTCGTTCGTCGTCGTCGTCATCGTCGTCGTTGGCGTCGTCGTCGTCGTCCGTCGTCCGTCGTCGTCGTCATCGTCGTCGTTGGCGTCGTCGTTCGTCGTCGTCGTCGGTCGGTCGTCGTCGTCGTCATGATCGTCGTCGTCGTCATCGTCGTCAGTCGTCGTCGTCGTGATCGTCGTCCTGCGTCGTCGCCGTTCGTCGTCGTCGTCGTTTGATTGATCCTCGAGCCTCGTACTTGCCGTCGGGAGCGCGCCAGCTGCACTTGCCGCATACCACGAGCCCCGGCCAGGCGACCGGCCCCAACTGGCCAGCGCCTGCCAGGGCCTGGCCAGCCGAGGGCGAAGGCTGCACGGGCCAAGAACTCCGACGTCCCTCTAGGCCTCCTAAATGGGGTCGCACTAGATGGTGTCGGAGGATCTCGCCGCAGCGCCGATGCATCGGCGATGCGACTCGATGTGGAGGCCGATGTGCTTCACGTCGACGTCGCCGATGCATCGCCGACGTCGACGATGCATCGCACGTGCATCGCCGATGCATCGCCAACGTATCGGCAATGCGGCGCGATCCTCCGATATCATCTACTCCGACCCCATCTAGGAGGCCTCCAGTCCCAGAGATCTAGGCGTCGCAACTTTTCTCGCCACGGGCGTTTTCGCCAAGTCTCAGGCCCCAGGGCCCTCACGGATAGATCCAGTTCGAAGAAGGATCCAGGAAGATGGTGTCCGGGGCTCCGGTGGTGATTTTTGGCGATGCTGCACTTCGTTTGCTACGTCAGATCTTAGGGGTCCCAGCGATCCGAGGCTCCGACAAAAATCGGAGCGGCCGCTTTGTGGCTGTTTGCGGCATCTCCGGCCCTTCACTGGGCTGCGGGGCCGCCAAAAACGGACCCCAGATGAAAAACAGGCCCTGTAATTAGGGGGGAAGTGGTCCAGACCTCCGGGGGTCCACTCATCGAAAAAAAATGGAGCGCTGGATGTCTGGGGACGTGGTTCTTCTTTAACTTCGCGGCGCCCACATTCGGGGTGCCCGGAAGGGTAAGATAGCAAAGGGCAGGGTACAGAATGAGCTCACGTAGCTGGTTTTCTTGGCGCCTCCTGGCGCCTTGGAGCGCCCATGTATCAAGGAATGGGCCCAGAGGCGGGGCAGAAACCAGCTGCATGCAGCAGACCTCGTAACTGCGAGGCGACATCCACCGCATGGGAAGCGACATCCCGGTGCCCAAGCGGGAGGTGGACATGGATACGTTTTGGCCCCCAAGGGCCCAAATCAGGGTAACGGGGCCGAACGATCATTCACTGTCCCTGGGTGCGTGGCTGAAAGAGGGATCCACGGCGAAGATTGCGCTTGTTTTGTTGCGTCGTCCCGCCCGCGACCCGCCCGCGACCCGCCCGCGACCCACCCGCGACCCACCCGCGACCCACCCTGCGACCAAACCGCAACCCGCCCGCGACCCACCCCACGACCCACCCGCGACCCACCCTGCGACCCACCCGCGACCCACCCGAGACCCGCCCGCGACCTACCCGCGACCCACCCTCGACCCACCTGCGACCTACCGGCGACCCACCCGCGACCCACCCGCGACCCACCCGCAACCCACCTGCGACCCACCCGTGACCCACCCGCGACCCACCCTGCGACCAAACCGCAACCTGCCCGCGACCCACCCCACGACCCACCCGCGACCCACCCTGCGACCCACCCGCGACCCACCCGAGACCCGCCCGCGACCTACCCGCGACCCACCCTCGACCCACCTGCGACCTACCGGCGACCCACCCGCGACCCACCCGCGACCCACCCGCAACCCACCCGCGACCCACCCGTGACCCACCCACGACCCGCCCACATTGCTTTAACTGGGAAATCGGCGCCTGCGGCGAGCTCGTTGTGCACGTTGCGAAAATTAGGCGCCCGTGGCGGGATTCGTCCGAATCTGACAGACGGCCGATGCCCCCGCTGCCCCCTCACTCTTATCCGCAACTGCGGGATGCTACGTATATCCAAATCCACCATCTGAAAAAATCCGCGAGGATCGAACCCCCAGGCGGTAGTCATGGATAAACCCCCGCCTCGGAGTAATCCCCCTCTCTCTAGACAAGCGCGTTGCACGACTCGCAAAGTAACTGCTCGCAAAGGGTCTGGATCCGCCGCGAGGGGCTTACGATCGTTTGCGAGTACATGCGTTTTTTTTCGCACGTCTGCGAGTCGGCACTTTGCGAGTAGTTGAACGCGCTCGATGACTTTCGTCCGACTCGACACTTTCTTCCGTCGGCGGCCAGGGAGAGGGTGACCGCGCTGGCGATGAAAGGCTTAAGCGGGGGTTCCGTGGGAGCGAGTTGTGCCACCGTGCAAGAGGAGGGGTGAGGAAAGACGCGGCCGAAAGAAAACAAGGACGGAGCGGGCGGCTCAGGAGTCTGAGCGCTCCACGAACGCGTGGCGCGGCCAGCCCCGCCGCGGGGCACGTGGCGGCTGCTGCGACATCGAGCCGGGGGCGGTGGGGGCGGCGGGTCCGACGCGACACACGGGGGTGACGCGAAGGGGGGGGGAGGCTTCTGAGAGGGCGCCGGGGCCTCGAAGAAGGCAGGCGGCTCTTCTTGGAGGTCCTCCTGGCCTCGACGTAAGGGCTTCTCGGAAGCCGCCGGGCCCGTCCAAGAGGGCCCCTGCCTTCTCATGGCAGCGCGCAGAAGGAGGCACAGTCGCTGCTGATTGGAGAGGGCACGCGAGAGGACACAAGACCCTTCCGAGGGCCACATCGCCATAGGTCTTGAGAAGGCATGGGTCGCGAAACACAGGACACGAAGGCACTCTTGATTTAGCAAAGTCGACCTACTAATCAGCCTCGACTAAGGGGGGGGGGGAAGGTTTCTTAGGAGGCTGCTGCTTAAAGGCGCCGGGCCTGCATCTGTAGATCAGGCCCGCGCCCTTCTCGGATCGGCGCTGGATCCCCCTCCCTGGCGCGCGGAGCGCACCAGGGGCGGCGCCAGAGGCGCCGCCAGGGGGCCCCAGCGCGGATCCGAGAAATCCGCGCGGCCCTCCGAGTTTTTACCTTTATGCCACTCTTCGTGCCCCCAGCGACGGCTGCTGCAGCAGCTCCCAGGACCCCGCGGAGACGTCGGCGCGAGGCCGAGGCCTCCGCCCCCGCCCTCTGGAACGCATTGACCCTCGTCCTGGCCCGGTCCAGGTTAGGGAGGAGGGAGGAGGGAGGAGGAGGAGGAGGGAGGAGGAGGAGGAGAGGAGGAAGAGGAGGGAGGAGGAGGAGGAGGAGGAGGAGGAGGAGGAGGAGGAGGAGGGAGGAGGGGAGGGGAGGAGGGAGGGAGGGGGGAGGAGGAGGAGGCCGTCGCGAGGGCACGGGTTCCCAGCTTCGCCCGCGACAGCGCAAACGTCGGCGCGCAGCCCGGGCCTCCGCACCCGCCCGAAAACGAGTTCTCCGCCCCCGCCCCCCTGGCAGCGGGGCCCGCGGCTGCGGAGCGCGCAGCCGGCGCCCTCCCAGCTGTGGTAGGAGCGCACCAGCTGCTGGACGTAGCAGGTCTGCGTGGGCGTCAGAGGCCTGCAATCACCCCGGGGAGCAAAAGACACGCCTGCCGTTACCCTTCGCCCGTGTTCCCCTCGTTTCCCGCCTCGTGGGTGCCTCATGATTTCCTCAATCACCATCATCATCAGCATGGTCATCGTCATCACCATGACCCCCACCAGCAAAAACAACAACAACAACAACAACAACAATCATTTTACCCGAACGCTCAGTGTTCTCCCCAGTGCCAGGGTTTTCATGCGACGCCAGCCAATACCCCCACTTCGTGGGGGGGCAATGCAAGCTCTACCAAACATCCACACGACTCTCGGGAACCACCCACACCCAGCTTCCCGCCCTATGACGTCAGGACACTTCACTTCGTGGCGCGCGGACGATCGTGGATACTACACTGGCGTGGAGTACACACCCGCAGAGGTTGATCACTTGTTTGGGCCCCGCATGTGCCCCGCATGGTGCATTTGTTGCGTATGACACATTATGTTTGGCAGGATTTCGGCACGCGCGCGCGGCGGCCGCGCGCATGTGCACTTCGTGTCATTTTTTGCAAGGGATGGTGGCCCTCGTAGGCTCGCAACCGTTGTTGCAGAAGGTCGAAGCACCTGAAAAGGTTCCTCGCAAAGGCCCTTTTAACAGAAATGTTTAAAATCTGGTGGGTTTCCTAGGAATCCGCAAGAGCGCGCGGAAGGACATTTTGACAATTTTTTTTGAAAAACCATTGGGTTTTTGATGTTTTTATGTTAAAATCGCTACGAAACCTAAGGTTTTGGAAGGATTTCGTCTTGCGCGCACGAATGTCCACTTTACCTTATTTTTTGCAAGGGATTCTTGCAATTTGATCAAGTAAGAACAAGAATTTTCATTTTATAGTGTTTTTTGCAAGGGAAAACGGATTACAACAAAACAACCGGATCCGGATCACATCCGTTTTCTGAAGCTTCCTCACGAAAATGATGAAAATGTAGCTGCGGCCTAGGTTTTGGAGGGGGGTCGCGCACCAGGGGTCCCAACAATAATTATTCTTTAGAAGTAATAATGTTCAACAACAACAACAACAACAACAACAACAACAACAACAACAACAACAACAACAATTACTAGCACGGGGACACTCCGTTCTCACCAGTGCCAGGGTTTTCATAGGAGGCGGGCAATACCCCCACTTTGTGGGGGGGCCGGTTCAAGCTCTACCAAATTTCCAAACGACTCTTCGCCACCACCCACACCCAGCTTCCCGCCCTATGACGTTCGGACACTTCACTTCGTGGCATGCGGACGACCGTGGCTACTATTCAGGGCCCCGCGGCCGACGACGACGGCGTGCGCGCGCGAAGAAAAAACGAATGTGTCCCGCATGGTATTATTTGACAGGGATGATGGCCCTGGCAGGTGCGCAACCGTTGTTGCAGAAGTTTGAAAAAGTTGCTCGCAAAAGCCCGTTTGACAGAAATGTTTAAAAAGTGTTGGGTTTCCTACGAATCCGCAAGAGCGCGCGGGATGAGATTTTGACATTTTTTTGTTGAAAAACCATTGGTTTTTTGATGTTTTTATGTTAAAATCGCTCCGAACACTAAGGTTTTGGAAGGATTTCGTCTTGCGCGCGCGAATGTCCACTTTACTTTATTTTTTGCAAGGGATTCTTGAAATTTGATTATATTAGAACAAGAAATGTCATTTTATAGTGTTTTTTGCAAGGGAAAGCGGGGGGGAACAAAACAACCGGATCTTGATCACATCGAATTACCTGAGGCTTCCTCACGAAAATGATGAAAATGTAGCTGCGGCCTAGGCGGCGCAGGGGGGCCGTGCACCAGGGGTCCCAACAATAATTATTCTTTAGAATTAATAATGTTCAACAATTACTAGCACGTGGGGACACTCCGTTCTCACCAGTGCCAGGGTTTTCATAGGAGGCGGGCCAATACCCCCACTTTGTGGGGGGGCCGGTTCAAGCTCTACCACATTTCCAAACGACTCTTCGCCACCACCCACACCCAGCTTCCCGCCCTATGACGTTCGGACACTTCACTTCGTGGCCTGCGGACGACCGTGGCTACTACACTGGCGCATGGGTACAGTGACTTGTTGTGGTAACATTTTCTGGACGCTAGCTTAGTATACGACTTTTCCCCCTGTTCCAACACTGGACACCTGTACTGGTTTTTGGTGGTAACGTGTTCCTGACGCTCAGGCGTTTTGACAGAAATGTTTAAAAAGTGTTGGGTTTCCTACAAATCCGCAAGAGCGCACGGGATGAGATTTTGACACTTTTTTTTTAACCATTGGGTTTTTGATGTTGTTATGTTAAAATCGTTACGAACACTAAGGTTTTGGAAGGATTTCGTCTTGCGCGCGCGAATGTCCACTTTACCTTATTTTTTGCAAGGGATTCTTGAAGTTTGGTTATGTTAGAACAAGAAATGTCCACTTTGCTTGCTTTTTTGCAAGGGAAAACCGCCCGTAACAAAACAACCGGATCCGGACCAACCCGTTTTGCCAGAGACTTCCTCACGAAAATGATGAAAACATGGCTGCGGCCTAGGCGCGGCGAGGGGGCCATGCACCAGGGGTCCCAACAATAATTATTTTTTAGAAGTAATAATGTTCAACAACAACAACAACAACAACAACAACAACAACAACAACAACAACATCAACAACAACAGCAGCAGCAGCAGCAGCAACAACAACAGCAACAGCAACAGCAACAACAGCAATCATGTTAGGAGTGCTCGCTGTCATGCGCTCGCGTTTCATTCGACATGTCCATCCCAAACCCTCGATACCCGCCCTCTTCGTCTTCGAGGACACCCACCCTTGAGGGCATAGCTTCCGTATCTGCCACGCATAGTTGGCGCAGCCCTAAATCAGGAGAAGCGAGGGAGGTGGGAAGAGACACGGCGGAGGGAAAAGGACGGAGCACGAGAGAGACGTGCAGGAGGGGGGATGTAGAAGGAGTGCAGGCGGCAGAACCAGACGGGCGGGTGGACTTCAACGGGCGGGTCGGGTGGGCGGGTCCAGACGGCCGGCTCGAGCGGGCGGTTCGCTCAAGCGTCAATCCTATGCACATGAATTGCCAGGAAGGTTCGGGCGGTAGCGCAATTTCAATATGTATATATATATCGCGAGACAGACAAAACGAGAGCGTGTTTCCGGCGTGATGGGGGCACGGCGCCGGAATAAACTGCGAAGACAGGGTCACGCGAGAGCGCGTTCCTGCATCATTTGTGAAGAAGTCCCGCGCGATAGTGCGATTTTGGATTAAATTGCGAAGCGATATCCAGCGGGATACATGTTATTTTTAGTTCGGGGGGCAATATTCCATTCCGACGAGCAATATCTACTCTTGTTAAAACAAAGCGAAAGCCACGGGAGGAGCACCGAAATTGAATAACAACGGGCACGGCGCAGGGATGATCAACAACGGATTGTTTAGCAATTAGACGCCATGTTGTTCGCTTTCGAACGCTCGCATGTACGTCAACATGCTTATCACCCAAACCCTCGACATCCGCACCCTCTTCGTCTTCGACCCTGGGGGCGAACCTTCTTCACCTGCCACGCGTACCTGGCGCAACCCCTGAAACGGGAGAACGGAGAAAGGAGGGAAGAGACAAGGCGGAGGGAAGAGGACGGAGGGGGGGCAATAGCAGAAGTACAGGCGGCAGCACCATGACGGACGGGTCCGGCGGGCGGACCTTGACGGGCGGGTCGGGTGGGCGGGCCCAGACGGCCAGGTCAATAAGAAAGAAACCATCCGAACACGGCAAGCCAAAGGGCAGATGTAGAAGCATATTCGACATTTTCCTCTACGCAATACTAACTAGTGTCATGTAGTGGCACGGGCCAGTCATATCCTGGCGTCGACGCACTGAACCAGAACAGTCGCGGATGCGCTCGTTCTTGCTTTGCCTCCAGTTGCTGACACGGCGGAAGATTTCCTAAAGTCGGGGGGGGAGAACGACGCGCATCGCAACACTAAGGCTTAAGACGCGACTACACATTTAAGTGTGTATATATATATATGCACAAAAAGATGACACAACGGCACGCTCGTCGACGCGGGATGCGGGGGTTTTCTTATCCAGCAGAGAGCATGTCGGCTGCTCCTCCTACACCTTAGGCGTAGCCTGCTACGACGTGCAGCCCGCTGCCGAGCATCTGAAATCTCAGGCACGATTATTTCAGCTTGCCTGGGGCTTACAGTCGGGGCGTTGACCTAAGGAACCCTAAATAAGGAACGAGGCCCCTTTTTTCCATAAGTTAAACTTCGATTCCCATCGAATACATGAGGAAACCCTGAGGCAAGCTGTGAAACAATTAAGGAACACGGAGCCCCTCCACAACGAAAAGGGCTCCTTCTTCGGCGCACCGACTGTACCTGGGATGAACGACCGTCAACTGGCAACTCATCCTCGGCAGCAAAGTGCGGCCTGAGCCTGCGGCCAAGTGCCGAACAACAGGCTGCGGGGCCAACCTATGGGCCACAAGTGTATAAGAATGCCCGATGTCGGGCTTCAACTACAGAATGGCAGCATCGATGTTACGTGAGAGCCCGCGACCAGACGCCTGTTGCCCATCACAGGGCAGGCTCAGCACTGCGTGCGTTCTGTACTGCCACGAAGTGGGACCTATCTCTTTACATGATGCTTGAATGACTGATGCCCTGACATCACTGAGACAAACAGCTCACGAACAAGACTTCCCTTATTATGTCCGTTTGCTGCCATGTCGCGCGTGTCACACCACTGAACACAGTGTACAACATGTTTACCCATCATTGGTTTGATCCAAATTATATGCCCGAGTAGAGTACATTACGTAGGTTGAATCTTTGTTTACCGGGAAAGGATTCGAAGGCAGACTCGGCATCTATGATGAGAGATACTGTTTTGCGTAAGCCACCATTCTCCAACACATGTTTGCGTTCTTCAGGAAACATGATGGCTTCTGCCGTGAACTCATGTTGTGTGACTACAGTCGGGTAGCAGTCCTCGAAATCGTGCGCCGCAGCA